ATGCAGTTATATTCTTGTAGATGCTACAGTTGGTCAAATACACCAAATAGTGCATTGTTATATCTACATGCATACATTGTATGTGTGCAAAAAATTGATAGTTATAATGAATACGTGTGTATTTGATAAGATGTTACGAGTGAAATTCATCGGGTGTAGCGTCAGAAAAAAAAAAAGAAAAACCCTAAATAGTCCATGCTATTGGAGTTTATTGGAGTTTATAAGGAACAAAGAGAATTGGCTATCACACAAAGTGGTGTATTGTATATAAGTTGGGGGTGAACGTACTTTCATGCATGCATAATTTGTTTTTGTTCTTTGTTTTTTTTTTTTTTGGTTTTTTTTTTTTTGTTATTGTTTGAAATTTGTAAAGTGTAGCGACCTATTTTTGTTGAATGTATGTATGTATATATTGTTCTCTTCACAAACTTACGCGTTTCGTAAATTTCGAATACCGAATAGTTGTTTCCATCCAGCTATGGCGATTATCTTAATTTACTAATTAATGAGTAATTAACAGAGGGTAGAATAACAATCTCCAAGCCATATAATTTAACCATGACGAAAACAATAACGTAGTGGCGAATAATTAGAAGCCGATATTTATCACTCAAAATAATCGAAGCTAATACATTGGTGTATCAGAACTTAAGCTCGAACAGACAAAAAAGAAAAGAACAAAAAAATCGAGCAAATCAAGAAACAGACGGTATTGTTGTGAATCGAATTGCATTGTGTTTTTCGATTTTTTTTTCTTTCTGCATGAATCTTCTTCTATGCATTTGGTGTGGCTGTGACAGGACATTTTCCCAATGTATTCCACAAAATATAATCCCCAGCAGTAACCTATTAATTATTATAGCATTAATAAATGAATATTGAAATGATTATTAGAAAATAAACGACACAAAGATAAAGATTACCTGTGTTGAAATTTCCACCGGGGCTTTAACTGCCGGAAAGATGTTTACCTGCATAAGCGTAAATATTCCAACTCAATAATTGACATTTGAAAGAATGGTACAAAAAGAATTCATGAATCAGGAAGAAGGTTAACTTCTTGACAAAGAAGGTTCCGATCCGATGGATTAAAAATAAAAGAAAGAAAAACACGAAGCAATTTTCCCCTTTTATGAATCGGGAAACCATTCCGATTTAAGATTGACATAATTTGCAGAGATCTCCGCTTCTATGCTCTTTGAATGACATGTAACTAGAAAACAGAAACTGGAAGTTGTATGGTTTTAAACGGAACTGATCAGAGGTGAAAGCAACATATCTCGTTATAAGAAACAATGGTAACTGCAAGTGACAAAAGACTTACAGATTTAGGATCAATCGACATTCCGGATAAAGAAGGTCCTATCATCTTGAAAGAGACCTGCACTCGTCGGAGTAAGTAACATGACATCTATATAAAGTTGTTTGCTTGAACAAATAAAAGTTAGAAAGTGCGAAAGGAATATACTTTTGCATAGTTGTATCCCTGCCAGCAAAAGGGATCTTCCAGATCAGCAGCATGAAGATCCTTCGTCATTTTCTCCATTATATAATCCTCAACATTTACCATACTGCCACCAGACTCTGTTTCATGATCACTGTCTTCATCAGCCATGATTCCAAGTGCCGATCCATATGAAGGCGTTCTTTGAGGTTGCCACGGAGCAAATCTGACAGTCCCGGGAAAAGTCGCCTCAATCGTCTTCCCAGATACACTACGAGTGTTGGTTACAATCTTCCACTCGACGGAATATTCCGTATTTGATACCGTTCCGATCGAAGGGGTACCGTCGAAAGAAACCACCTTCCTCCTCGGGAAAGGCATAGTCACCGTACAGAACTCCATCACCACAGGAGCTTTATAACCTTCCAGAAGGCTCAACCTAAACAAAAACGCACCCTCGTTTTCCGACACCATTGAAAGCTGGTAAAACCCCTTTACTGGGGGACCCACAGAACAGTGCGCTTGATAGTGCATCAACACGAAATTCCCTAACGGGGGCGAAAAGGTGATGCCCTGTTTGTCGCCACCATGCTCGGGAACTTGAGCACAAGGGTGGAAGGTTAAAGACTCGATTCGGGCGGCGTCCAGTCCGGTCAGCGGGAAGGAGACGTCGGGCAGGCCTTCTAACTCTGCCCGACAGTTGACCTGCCCGGAAATTGTTATCACGTCAGGAATTTCGTCTCGATCGTACAGTGCCGCATGGACTGTGTCGTGGACTGTGAAAAGAATCCGTTGCTTCCCTCTGTATAGATACGGCTTCCAAGCTGGTTGCTTACGCTCTGTGGGAGGTGTATCTGATGAAGAAAATCCGGTTGTCTTGATCGCGGAAATGTTTGAATAGCTGAGATCTAGTGGTGTGCCTACAACGAGTATAAAAGGATCGATTAAACAATATTATAGAACATTCGTACACCAAAAAAAAATCAAGAGGAGCAATGGCGGATTTAGTATTTTTATTTTATTTTAAAAAGTATAAACTTACGATCATTCACCTATGCTTTCACAATTTTTTTCATGATTATCTCGACATATTCCCACAATAATCTCAAAACCTCAGAGTTTCTAATCGACACTCTAATTGCTACTTTATTGTATATATTTAATGAAATAGATACACAACAATTATATCACTACATTTAATGTTTATACCTCTAATAGTTATTCTATTATACACGATAATGTTTTATATAAGTAACTATATTTTGGAAAAGAAAAATGGTGAATGTAAATAAAGAAGACAGAAATATGATTTGAGTTAGGGCTTTCTCAACCAATTGAAATTTTCTTAGAATACTTCTTTTAGGAAATGAGAATCGAAAGGATTTACTAAGACATTATTTAACTGCTGTGTATTAGACTTTTTCAGATTGGTGTGATTTATTTATACTTTTATTTTGCCCTTTATTTTCAGTTAAAAAAATGTCAAATATGTTATTCGTTTAAATTAGTGATACAATTTTTTTTTTCTTTATTTCACAATTATCGACAAGAAAATACCATTAAAAAAAAGGATTACCAACCAAAGGGCATGGCGCTGCTGATGAAAGACCGAAGTACATCCTTCTCCAATGGCCTAGAAACCGCCTTTGGAGAATCGAACATTACAGCACCGCTTGAAGAAGTTCCGGAAACAGTGGATGCTGAGACAGGTGAAGCTACGGGTTTTGCTCTTGCTGAGATACTTGAAATTCCGATACTACCCGTCAGGGAATCCAGTAACCCTCCCACCGAGGGTGATGCAGCAACAAGTACTTCTGGCTCCATTACTTCTCCAAGTATTACGTCTCCAATTGCTTGCGCCACAATAAACCCCCTAATTCACACATTAAATTGATATGTTGAGCGTAACAATACAAGAAAACAGTTTTCGAAAATATTATATCCGTATCACCTAAAAGCAAATGTGATAGTTTTGGTGGGGAAAAAGCAGGGGAACTTCAATGAAGCAAGTAAAAAAATGTACAACTTACCATACCCTGTGATGGAAGGAAGGTCGAGGAGGAGTGAAGACAGATTCTCGTCTGCTCCTACGGCGCTGCCACAGTCCGATTTACCGCACATTCTTGAATAAGATTTCAAATGGCGTGGTTCAACCAAAGGCAGAACAAGAATCGAATAAGAACCCTTTATATGCAACACGAGAGGCCACAAGAGATTGTTCTCCACTTTCTCTTCTCCATTGATGAACAAACTAATTACATGACGAGTAATCGGATCATCAAGCCATGAATCTGATCCTCTAACAGATTGGCTTACACGTATACCGAATCCTCGAGCAGAACCCTCCCTTCATTATTCAGTGAACCAGTTACAACCATCGCAATAAATGATAATAATCCACATTTATACAAATAAATTGATAAAATCTACAGTAGTTTAAACAAATGTAAAATTGAGCTAAACAAACACAAATTCTGTAAACCTATCAAACGAAAGACATATACAAGCCAAAAAATAACAAATAATCTGAATCTGACCTCTTTTTGCGATCAATGAAAGCAGCAGCCAACTCTGAATCATTGGGCAATAAATAATACTTCAGATTATCGTCAGTTTCCTTTTCACAAGACACGCGCCACCGCTTCTCCACCACCGGAAATTTCCTGATAATTTATTTTTATCCAAATTAACTGTAAAACCCTCAATTTCACCCATCGATCTGACGCTATTGAAAAAAAATTACGAAGAACTAAAACATAAAGCAAAGGCTACCTGGAGAAAATAACAGTGTCTTGATTGTTGAGAATCCACAGAGCTCTGATGCAGCAGCCACTCGGCATTTTCACTTTTCGTTTTTCCTTCAGAATTTTCGTTCACTTTTCGTTTTCCTTCAGAATTTCACGGTTGTGAAGCACCGTAGCGAATAGCGATGAG